AGCCTGCTAACATCAGTGAGGGACTTGGGGCCGTCTGTAAAAACATTCAAGAAACACAAGAGGAATTTGCAGTGCTGACTCATCAGTACAAGATTCTCCGTCCCTTCTCCGCCACCACCATCAATGCGCCCAGGTGCAGAGGGATGCAGACTGGATGTGATCACCATTAATTATGCCTATTTACAGGTCGAGTAGCTTCTGTCACCTCCACAACCAGAGCAAGAGACTAGTGGGGTGAATGTAAAATAGCTCTATTCCCCCTTGGAGAAGCACCACATACACCTGAGCATGCAAAAACGGAAGCAGCAGGACTGACGGGGGGCTAAACCCTAGACTTACCTTAGCGTAAAACTACTGCCAGCATTCCCCCTCAATTCAAGACAGCCAAAACCCAGTTCAGACTGGTCTAGGGGGTGCTGCCTGGCCTTTCCTCTGGTGCTAGCTGCCCTAGCAATCTCAGAGTTCCTGTTCTGGAAAAAAAACACCAACCAGATTTCATAGTTACTGAATCCAGGCTCATTACAGAGGCACAGGCAAAGATGCTTGGCCCCTCTCCCACCTGACACTCCCACGTCATGCGCGTGAGCCTGTGCTCTGGCAGTGGAGGGTGGGCACATTTGCCATCGCGCTGCAGAAACGTGTGTACCAACCACTCTTGAATCCTTCTCGCCCCCACCATGCCGCAACTGGATAAAAGCAAGTTCATCCCAAGTTCCTGAAAGCTCTTGGGCAATCACAGCTGGAACCCACCGCCCAGACCCCAGAAGAAGCGTGCCAAGAGGTTTCCCCTCATTCCACCCGCATGATGCCTGGAGCTGGGATTCCTGCAGCTCGTCCCCCAGCAAGGCACTGCTGCCTTTGCCCCACGTCCACATGGCAACCGATGAGAAATGGTTCCAAACTGTGATGTTCTACCAGAACTCTGCCACAGCTGCAGAGGGAGGAATACTTTGAATCCTGCTTCCAGGCCCTGCCCTTGAACTCTGGTTCAGTGCACACCTCCCCACCACACACACCTCTCCCATGAACTCAAGGCATGTTTAAAGTGCTGCATTAAAAACCAAAACCAATCAAAGCCCCCACTCTTTTTTCTTCTCCCCACAGGTTTTGCAGTTAATGACATCAAATGCACTGTTATAGCATATAAAATGTTATCGTAGTGCTATACTGGCTCAAGTGTCTATGGCTGGAAGCTTCACAGGACACTCAGACTTGCAAAATTACAATAAAAAAAAAGAACCATAACATTTCAGAACCATATGATTTTAGGTCAAATATTTAAGACAGTTTTAAATAACAAGTCAAAGTAGTTGAAGATACTTAAAAATGAGACACTCGTGGACTCACACAAACAGGAGTGCAGTATCCTAATTACTAGACATACCAAAACCCCTCAAAATTATTTCCCCTGTTCTTCCCTCCACCCCTGAAACATCTCTGTTGTCACCCTCCCCAACCAACACTAAGTCCAAACAAACTTTGGAATTTGGCTGAATTTATTGTGAGATCTAGGGGGAAGGAATGCATCGCACAGGAGTGTTGGTGATAACCAAATAGAAATAAGCCAACCCCACGAGGGCAAACTGCTAGGTGGGACTTCACGTTCTCTAACTGGGCTGGATTATTCAGGTCAACTCTTTAGTTAAAAAAAAAAAAAAGTCAAAACTAATTAAAGAGAAACTCATGCTCTTACTAAGGGTCTTCAGTTGGTTTCCCACTTACAGGTATAATATATGACAGAACTATTTTTGCAGTGGATAAGAAAAAAATAGGTTTGGAGTCTTTGCACACCCTGTGCAAACATACGTGATGGCTTCTCAAAACCGTCAGACCAAAGCAGGATCTTGTGATCCACCACTAAAAGCAGTTCCTCCTCACGCGCTGCCCGGCTGGCAACAGAGAAATCAGAAGATATCTTTGTAGCTATAAAGAGATTTATTTGGGGATGAGACTTTTCACTACTAGAAGCCAGACTCTAAGCTGGCTCTCACGATCTAAATCACACTTTTCTTTGGACAATAATTTTCAAGTTGCACTTACTGTCCTATTTCTCAAAAAGGAATGATGATGACAAAAAATAGACAAAAACTATTACCTAAATGCGTTAGTTTCAGCTGAAGCCATCTTCCATCAGAAACCATAGGATCTGATACAACAAAGTTCTCCCTAGGGATGTTTATGAGTAGAGTAGCTCAGTGCTTTGTATACTAGTACTGCTGTATTTTGTCTTGTATCAAAAAAAAAAAAAAGTTTAACTGCATGTGCAGCCTCAGCTCTCAAACCACTGCCACGTGCCTCACTGCTCACCCAGAGTCAGCCTCTCTTCCCTTGGAAAAAATAAAAATGAAAAAAATCACCCCCCCTCCCCCCAACAAAACATCACCAATGCCACGCTGGTTCAACAGGAGTACGTTCTTCCCGAGGGCTGACGGTGGGCCTGGGTCACTCCTTGGCATCCTGCTCCTCTCCCTCCTGGGCACCGTCCTCACTGGCCTCCTTCTCCTCTTTGCTACGCTTGTTCTTTTTGTGCTTGTGACGCCGATGACTCTCTCCCTCCTCGCTCTCGTGCTGCTTGCTGCGGTGGGGAAGAAAGGGGAGAAGAAAGTTCCATCAGAACCTGCATCAGCATGGCTCTGTCACAGAGGAGACCCACAGGCAGTGACTCTACAGCATGTGCAGGGACAGAGCGCTTTGATCTAGAATAAACAGGAGACAGATCAGAAGTGCTGCGGGCATCACGGTGCCATTGAAAGGCTTCGTGGTGTTTATTTGGGACGATCTGATATCACACGTGGCTGAACCAAGGGCAGGTTATGCAAACTGCTGGAGGTGGTTGCTTTATACCACTAGCTGCATCAGCACACGGTTCTAGGCAGGTGGCAGACTAGACAGACTGCTCTCCGAATAATTTTTTGATAGTTTTTATGAGCAACATTTCTGTGTCCTTCCCACTCCCCTAAGGGAGCTCTAACAATTCTGTCACATCTCAAAAGCTTCAATGTGAAGCACTGAGGCTGCTGAGAGAAGGAAGAGTCCTAAATCTGAGAGGTGTTTGAAACTTCCATGCCTCTGAACACCTTGGGGAAATCCCTGGACTAGAGGCCAGAAAGGCATCAACATAGCTAGAGAACCGTGGGTTTCCTAACAGGAGGCAGATCCCATTTCTACTTCTGCTTGCTCATAAATGACCTGGCACTTCACTAGCTTTGTGCTTTAGAACTCCTCTGTCTCCTCACCCAGAATGGTCATCCAGATACAGCTGGACAGCTGTGGACATTTAGACAGGATTTCTGTGACACGGGAGAAATCCCAGCCAGAAATAGCTCCGAGTAGGCTGCAGATGCCTCTGAGCCCTGCACCACTGACCACGGCAGCTGCACTGTGTACGCACAGCATGCCCCACGCAACCCCACATCCCGAGATCCGCCTCTGTCTCCCATCAGGGAAAGTGGGAAGCTCTGGTTTTGCCCAGTCTGGTTCTTGGCCCTTCCTGGGAGGAGATTTTCTGCTGTTTCTAAAACACACAATTGTTTCTCCTCACAGACTGAAAACCAAGCGAGCTCTCTCGAGCTGACCGTGCTGTGAAGGTGGCAGAATTAAAACACAGCACAGAGAACGCAGAGAAAAAGCAGATTAAATTTATCACAGGAAGATGTATGGTCACACAGTACAGACACACAGCTCCGCGAGCGGGGACAGAGCTGGGTATAGAGACAAATTCTTACCACAGCTGGAATACCAGTTTAGCAGCAGAGACACCTAAACTGGCTGAACCACTGAAGCCCTGGCTGAAAAGCTCCTGGCTTCAAGTAATTTTCTGACTTGTATAATAAATGGTTTCATAGTTATTAAAAGGAGAAAAAAAAAAAAAGAAAGAAAAAAAATAAGGCTGCTGTCTATCCTCAACACTGCTTCAGCCACCTTGTGGACAGCAATGTGGAAGTGGTTTCTGCTGAACAATGCGACAGTCCTTTAATATTTAAACGAGCGTCAGTGATTTCCTTCAGACTGGTCAATTTGCACTAAACTGGAAACTACAATGAAACCCTTTCATCTTCCTGCAAATGCCATGAACAGGCTCAAATCTCAAAGCGCCTCAAGCAGGGACTCCGATATGCACTCCAAGTAGCTTTAAACAAAAAGTATTCCTCCATTTGCTTTAACTAACAAACACTTCCCAGCCTGCCACTTTGAGCAAGACACAGAACATCTGCATGTGGTTTCAGGAGCAGAGGAAAAGTCACCTCATTCCCACCTCGTGCAGTAGCTCAATTCTGTAAACCAACCTCTCCAGCAAATTCTGACACTGCTTTGGTGAATTCCATCCTGGTCATGTAGTTGGGTATCTGACACTAGATTTCAATTCTGAGTAGAGGAAGCTGAGAAAGAACCCTTAAAGCTATCGGCTTGTTAGTCTGGTATCAGCTCAGCTTCCATTTGTTTTGTGTTCAATTCTGATTACAGTCCTGGTCTTTCTTCCCATCACTTTGTTCCCAACCCTTCCGCAATCAGTCCTTTCTTGAAAATGTATTCATCTCCTTAAGGATGAGAAGAGCCTTTTGCCTCCAGTCACTATGTAGGAGTTTTTCTGATGCCGATTTCAAAATAAGGGTAATTACCTACAGAGCTGACATGAATTTTATCTAAAAGAAGGAAATAAAAGTTGAAGCACCAAAAAAAAAAAAAAAGCACAAGTCTGCTCAAGTCATTACCAGGATGTAAACTGGCACAGCAACAGAGCGCTGCCTCAGACCAGAGAGAGGCCAGACCTGTTACTTTGCTAGAAGAATGCTCTCGCAGGAAGATCATCTGTGGTGAATACACTTTCTCCAGAAAAGCTGGAATTTTAGGACATCCTGCACTGCTCCGAAAGTGTTTCACCTTCATCCAGATCATCACCAACCTCACTATCGGCAGCACTGGGCACAGAGCTCTGATCACGCAGTGCTCAACCTCCGGCTCCAAGAGGGAATTTCAGATTACAGGCTGAAGAAAGCTCTTCTCCTCTGCACAGAACACAGAATACTGAAACCTGCTGCTTCTGTTATGGTTCTGCATTTTCCTTTGTGTGCACTTTCTGAGCAGCATGAGCGATGCTGCTCTGAGGTGATGTTTAGCACAGGTTAACCTCTCCTTTGTCAATCAGTGCTGCAATTTCGCTGGCAGTGATTCAACATCCTGCCAGCTGCCTCACTGAGACCATACAAGCACAAAGGACTCCTCTCCCTATTACAGACAGTTCTGCCTCCTGCCCGAGTACAAGCCCCAGAGCACTTTCTCTGCCTGGGTGTCACATCTCAGGACATCAGCAGGTCACAGGAAGCCAGCCAGTATGACCCGGGGCAACAGTTCACCCTGAGAACATCAAGCGTCTTCTCTGCAGCTAAGGGGTGTTCCCATCAACAGCCCAGTTCAACCCTTCACAGCTCTTACCGTCTTGAAGACTTATGCTTGCTGCTCTCCTCTTTGTCTCTGTGCCTGCGCTCTCGGTGACGATCCTCTCGCTCCCTGCTGCGATCTCGACTCCGGCGGTAGTCACGCTCAAAGTCATAGCTGCGCTCTCGGCTGTAGTAGCGGTATCGTTCATCATCACTTGAGAAAAGAAAGGAGAAGTGAGGCACAGGAACACACCACTCATGGACCTGAAAGTCAGGAGCCATGTTTACTTGACTGTAGAACCCCATCCTCACCACCAAAATAAGTCACCTCTACTCTACCAACAGGCTGAGGAATTTGCGATGCTCCTAAAAAAACCTGTAACAATAAGCTGCTGCTTATTGAACCCAAGCTGCAACCCAATCCCAGTTTCTAACCACAGTGAAATAACATCTCCATTTCCCTATCACATAGCTCACAAGCCCAGACAGTTGAATATCACGGCTTTCTCCTGGCCTCTCAAGGCAAAGGGTTTACAAAATTTGTTCTCTGGATTTGCCAAGAGAGTACCTTAGCAGCAGGCACGTGGCCAACGTCTCAGGGATTTCTGCCCTCACAATCCCTCTGTTCAAAACCAAGAGAAACATGCTCCTCTCATCATTCTGCCTCCCCTAGTGCTGGATTTTACCTCATAACACTACTGTCCCAGATAACCTGTAATTCTTTTGTGAGAGTTACACTAAGGGACTATTTTCTTCTCTACGAGTTCCAAAATTCAAATTGCGAGTACAGCTGACACGGTCCTTCTGCCTACACCCAGCTCTCTGCTCAAAGCACCTTATTCAGTCCGCATACAGGAAGGGTGTGATGTACCCCAAATTCAGACACATCCCCCACTCCCCTCTATGTCTCATTGTCCCTATTCAACTTCTGAAAGCCAAAAATCTAAAGGGTTAACAAGTCCCACTATGAGAAACAATATTCAGACTCTGAGAGAAAGGAAGTCTGAAATATCATCCTAACGCTCATGGAAACCAGCTAGACAAATAAATGTCCAATATCAATCATCTGGGAGTGCTCTGCTGAGCACGACTACTTGCCCTGCTTTGGCACGCATGATCTCAGAGGTCAGCATGCTCGAAAGCACCCAGAAACGCTAACGATGTGCTCAGGAGTGCTGGTCACAGGACTTGGCTGCAGCAGGAACCTGCTCAGGAAGTGTGGGAGTCTGAGCCCTTCAAACTGTAGCAAATTTGTCTTCTGTTCTGTTCCTCCCCCTTCCACCCACAGTGCCCACAAGCTTGTAAGGGAGGAAAAAAAAAAAAAAGGGGGCAGAGAAAAGAAAAAAAAAAAAAAAGGTTAGGAAGATGTTGCCCTGTTTGCACACCCCCTGGGCCGGGGAGTTCCCGGCAGGCAGCACCCCTCTGCCAGGAATGCACATTCTGATCATGTTTTGAATGACTATTGCTATTTCTGAGCCTGAAGCCTGCAAAACACTGACGCTGCCTGTGACAGAACAAAAAAGTGATGGGTTTAGAAAGCGTCTTTGCAGCCTAGCCTTCACTTTAGCTCTCTTGATCAACGCTGGGAGGCTGAAAGCCTCCCTTCCCAAGGGCTCCCAGCATTGCTGTCGCCTGAGATCACATCAGTTCCCACCAAGGTGGTTGTCTCCAGCACTGCTCGCAGAAACGCCTGGTTAAGGATTTACATTTCACGGCTGACTCCTGGTGAATGGCACTCCTTGCCCTGAAAGCCTCTACAGGAGAGCTGAGCAAAGCATGGGTGGTTTCTCCTTTGATCTGACAGTTGCATTTAGAAGACAAGAAGCAGCAGCTTCTACGGCCAACGTTTCACACTGAGCTGTGAAATACCTAGTAAACAGAGAGGGGCTATTTCACTTACTGGCCTCACATTACAGGTGGGAGAGCAAGTGTAACTGGTTCTGCTGGATTTAAACAAAAAAAAAAACACAGACACAGGAAATCAAGTCAGTGACATTGGCTCCTAGTTTGTCCCCTAGTTATTGATCCAAAGTATCTCTTCCCCAGACATTTCAGAAAATTAAACTGACCTTGACCAAACACCTTCTTTGTGCTCCCAGGCAAGGCCAGAGCTCCCTACTGAATAGCTGTGAGCAGAAGCTGCCGAAAACCAGCACTCACTTGTTATATTCACTAGTGGTCGGAGTGCGGTCTCTGTCTCTCTCCCTCTCCCTTTCCCGCTCACGCTCCCGCTCTCTCTCACGCCTTGAGCCTGAGTATTCCCAATGGCTGCTGCTGGAACTGCTTGTGCCTTTGTCCACCGTCGTCACCCAGGGCGTGTGGGACGTGGAGATGGGTGGGTAGCTGATGAAACCTGAATCTGCAGCGAGAGAGCAGAATCCTTGTTCATCTGAAGCATTAACAGCATCCTCTCTGTCCCTCCCTTTCCAAAGACACCCTCTGGAGGTACAGCTGAATCCAAGGAGAGCAGCTCCCTCCTCTTCTCAACACTCCCTTTATACTTTCAGCAGTTTGCTAAGAACACGTGAACACCTCTTCCCTGAGGAAGATGCAAGTGAGACCAGACATTTACAGACGTCGCTGCAAAATCTCCCCAGCATGCTACTGCAAGGGCTATGCACTGCCCCGGCTCTTGCCCTCTATAGGTCCTGCTGTATAGGGCATGCTCTAAGGTCTCCACTGAGACAAGTTTCAATCCACTAAGGAAATGGGAGAGGACATGGGCATTGCTGGCAGGGCGGCAACAGGGAAGGAAACCTGCTGAAATTCTGGCACTGCCTCTTCTATTCCAAAACATAAGCAGATTCCTGCACGTGTCTGTAGGCAAGGAAGATGACAAAGTGGGGGAGGAAGGCATCCAAAAGCTCAGGGAGGAGATGGAAGATGATGGTTGTGCTTGTCCTTGAGGGTGGGGGAACAGCAAGAGAACATGAGCGAATGCGAGCAAGTATGAGTGCAAACAAGCACAGGAACATGTTGCTGAGGCACACGGCTGAGGCTGAGGCTTCTCTGTTGCTGGGTATCTGCACTGCAAACAGTGATCTGAGACTTAGTGCTCAACTACAAAACTGCATTCACCGTTGCTGCAAAACATTCATCTTTACAAACACTTTACGGTGTAGCCAAACTCAGCATGCGTGTCTAGTGACTGGGATAGTTTGGGGCACAAAGACCCTAAAGTTAAAGCAAGCACGATGTCCATCAGCTTAAGAAAAGCCTAAACTCCCAAATACCAGAGAACAGAGATATAAGCGGTTTGATATAAGCGTTTTCACTGTTCTCTTCAGTGCTCACCTGCAGAGTTGTAGCCAAACGGAGGAGGCTGCCTGTTATTGTAGCTGGCTGGCTGGCTTTGGAGAGAGAGAAAAGGATGCAAGTTATGACATCAGTGACCCCTTGCAGCTGTGTCCGTGCTGCAAGTTTACCCAATTTTTGTCTGAAGGTCTGTGGGAGATCCTCATAAGAAACCCACAGTTTCAGTGAATCTTTTTCACTTTGCATTGCAAACGCTCAGAAATGCCCACAGGTGCAGTTGCTTTGCCACAGCTTCCGAAAGGGCTGTAACCCCTTGTGTAAATCAGGCTGTCTTCCTGGGACATAACCAGCACTTACAAAGTACCCGCAGAATCTTTATAGAAAACATCTGGAGTAACAACATGCTGGTGACTACTCTGCACTAGACCTAAGCACACACCTAGATTTTATTGACTCCTTCCTGTGTCATGACTATGACAAACCAAGATTTTGACAAACCACAGAGGATTCCCTCCAGCCTGTGCTCTCACCCCCCACCCCGATCCAAGACCAGACTAAGAATTACTAGCGCTGATTTCAGACCTCTCCTCCTCCCTTCCTCACTCCGGAGGAGCTGTACTCATGGCTCAGCCCAGGTGTGGTCTTACCCATCCAAGGTTGGAATGAGGAGAGCTGGTGGTGGTGCCAGAGGAGGCGGGAACAACCCTAGACACAGAAGCGTAAAGTCATCACAAAGATCTCGCAGCTTGCCACGAGGAACAAGGCTTCATTGCTGGTTACAGTTAAAAGCAGTTAATGCATCTTTTTACTCTAAACAAGGCCCTGTTGGAAACGGAATATTTTTCCTTCAGGGTTGTATCTCCTATGAAAATTAAAACCCTACAGCTATGTTAGTTCTGTAGGGGTATGGATGGAAAAACAAAGGAAGAACCACCTTCTATTTTGGCTTATTCATCTTACACAGAAGATTCATTAAGGTGTAAACATTAACCCTTACAGTCCTGTAAGACTGAAGAAGTCCTGGAAGACAGAAGAGTGATTCTTGGGATGCAGACACACTGCAACTACAGCAAAGGGTTTATTGCTCCGTTGATTAAAATGAGTAGCTTTGTCTCTTACAAAGCACGTGACAGAATTCACCTGCTTTTGTTTAAAGTAATCCAATTTTCTGAGCACACATACATTTAAAAATCATGAGAAGACACAGCAGCAACAATGCAGAGAGAGTTGTCTGACAGGTCTGACAGTTTAAAAATGGGCCCAATGTCAAACAAATGAAGAGTTATTATACAAAAATTAGAAGGCAGTATCTTCAAGAAAGTGGAATTAAGAAGTTTATGAAGGCCACTTCCAGAAGTGACATAAGCCCTGGAAGCCAAAGTCCCCAACCTTGACCAATATGAAAGTGAGGACGTGCCGAGTGCTCGCAAGGGAACTTCTTTAACTTGTATCCATAACTATAAGCAACCATTACTTCTACAGGGAGTTACCAGTGCCGGCAAGAACAGACTAACCACCCATTGGCTTGACTTCGCATAAAAATTTCTGTTTAAACAAAAACAAGCAGCAAACTGTACTGATATAAAGGACAGGAATCATCTGACTAACTACAGTCATTTAGATTGAAGCTAGTAGCTCCAGGTTCCTTTTCAAGTACACGGTGATCAAGCCAGCATAGTTTATGAAACTGGGGGATAATTCATCAGCTTTTATAGTGAACACCTAAAATGGGTCAGGAGAACCCCTTCCTAGAAGCGTCTCACTGCAAAAGGAGATGGCCTGAAATCTCCAGCTCAGCTACTGGAGATCTACGCTGCAAACAAGTTGGGGGACATGTCTCACTCTTCGATGCTTTTTTCCCCCCCTCCTTTTCCTAAGATCTTCCAATAAAACGCAATGCCTACAGCACTTCAGTCACACTTGCCCACCAAGTACTTCAAAGTACTACTGCTATAAGCATCTAGCTCAAATAGTGGTGGATCATCATCATTATCATAATTAGCAGGCGTTCTCCCTCACCTCCCTTTCCAACCCAGTTACCTGGAGTGGAAGTTCTTTGCAACAGCCTGGTCATTTTGTCCACCTCACACCTCCCAAAGAACTTCAATCTAAATGCACTTGACTAGCACCTGGGTCCTGCAATGTCTACAGTCAAGACTAGTTTGCATCTAGTTTCACTGCAATACAGTTCTTCTAAATCCAAGCTTACTATGAGCAGGTTCCTTCTGGTACAACAATGAAAACCAGCTCTGCAATATTCTTGTACGTAGAGAGGAGTATGAAAAGTGACATTTTAACAAGCACAGCAGGACTTTTCTCAGTCTGAGGGACAGCCCAGCTAGCATAGGTTTTCCATACTTCCATTTGGGAAGCCCAGGGCAGAGCATGAATACAAAAGCATGGACACAAAAGCTGTGAATCAAGTCCAACATGTCTGATGCATGGTGAGGACAAGCACATCAAGTCCAAGGTGCTCTGGGTGCAGACACGTGGCAAGTACGTGATTCAAGTATACTGTAGCAGACAGAGGCAGTGGCCTGACTGCATATAGACAGTCACCACCAGCCTTGGATCTTCAGATGTTGGGCACCTGGTCAGAACTATCGCTCCAAACAGTCTCCTACACAAACAACTATATTTGTTTTCCCTGGACTAGGCAAAATTTCCAGTAGAAGAAAAAAAAAAAAATTACAGCTAGAGGAAACTCAGCTTTATGGGAGCTCTGAATTAGTGGGATCCTTAACTTACGCACAAGCTTGGTTGTTACATTTCTTTATTAGTATTCACCATCTCTACTGCATACCGGGGAGCAACAGCTTCTGACGGAAATGGCATTTGTTCTGCTCAGTCTCACACTCCAAATTCCTATACAAAGCACCAATTTGTCACTCAGACTTTTGCTGTGCAAATGCTGTAACAAGAACTAAACCATTTTGAATCTAATAAGTGATTTTTGCCATCTGAAGATCTCCATTTCACTTTCTAGACTGGTCTTCAGAGACAAAAGAAAATAGTATTAAGAAGCCCTACAGATTATTCTTTAGGTCCAGACTACAAGATAAGCAGCTGGAGTTTGAGACTGCATTGGTGTTTATTTGCCTTAAATTAATTGTGCTCTAAAATTGGTCTTGGTGTCATCCTATCTCGTGTTACTTAATCCAAATGCTCAGATAGGGCCATCTGTGTGTTCAAAATCACTGCTGTTACTAAGAGCAAGTTACACCTACCTGGAATAGGACCGGGTGGCGGCAGACCTATGGAAAAAACAGGGAAGGAAAACGAGTGAGGACAACAGGTAAAACATTGTCATCTCTGTACCTCAAGCTAAACCCCAAAGCAGACTTTTGAATTTCAAATATTTGAGCAAACAGATCAGCAGAAAAATTGGTGGAAACTAGGTAACTAGCCTACCAACTATGTCATTTTCCCAAATGATGATCTCTTTACCTTTATCTTATAATTTTAAATGTTGCTGCTCTCACACTAGAGAATTCATTTTTCCAAGTGTAGCCACACAAACAATGGATTTGGCCTTTAGAACAACTGAAGGAGCTGGAGAGGAGAACCTGCTGCAGACACCAGTGAGTCCTTTTGCTTGTTTGTTGTTGGTCGGGGTGTCTTTTTTTAAAAACTTTTTGCCCAGATTGTGGCCTTCGCTTCAACCTCGATGCACTATTTAAGCCGGAAGGAACAGGGGCACAGACATGACTCATGTCAGATCAGAAGATGCGCAGACTTAGTAGGAAGTGAAGACAGAAAAATGTGTCGTAGGCCGTGGCCAGCAGTTCTTTGCTCTCTCCACCAGTATTGCCCCATTTTGCCTGGTGCTCCGAAAATGTGCTACTGGCCTCTGTGTTGCAGATGCATTTAGAAACTTTGTGGAACCCAAGTTATGACATGCACAGAAGAGACAGTGAAACTGTTCTGTATCATGGCGCTCGAGATAAAGTAGAAAAAAAGTTAGAAATTTTACCTCTGCTATCTCAATAGGTTTCAGGACTCAGTCTGTAACTGCAGAGGCAAAGGGCATTTCTGCGGACACAGGACTTATCTCGACAGTGCCTTCTCAAGTGCCAAGTGCTCTCAGCACAACACAAACCCATCTGGTTATTTATCACAGCACGCAAACTTGCCAATGCTGAGGACTGACCACACCCAACGGGCTAGAAACCCATGGTAAAGACCTCATTTATATTATTTATATTTTCCTATTAAAATGAAGCACTGCTTTAATGCCTGCACTGGACACTGGACTCTTGTAGGAGCAGTAAGAATCATCCTGCAGTGGCAGTTGGTACAATAAAACGCACAGAAACAAACACAGAGAGATACAAATCTCGGTATTTAAGGCATAAACCAACCAAGAACTGACACAGATTAGGAGGAAAATTGTTTGTTAGAGCTGCTGTTGCAGAATTGCCCATTCCAGCATCACCTTTGAAACACGTGGAATCAGCCATAGCCAGACAGGATCCTGAACTAAAGAGCCTGCTGATCTGCCATGGGATAGCAATTCCCGTGTCCTTAGCTTCCTGCGCCGATAAACAAGAGCCCATTTCTTTCCGTTTATCAATAACGCAAATGGATCAGTACCACCCAAAGGCTCTCTCACAGAAACAAAGCCTTTTTTTCAAGAAACAGCTGCCATTTTTAAAGTATTCAAGGATAAATGTTAAATAGGCTGATGGAGACGCTGAACAGAGACTGGCCAGGTCTAAGGACCTGTCACCCGACTGCCTGACTGTCCCATAGCATTTAACGATTAAACCTTTGAATTGCTCCAAGCCTGGGACGTCCTAACTTGCAGCCTCAGACTGCCATATATTGCTGCGCGAACACATACCTGGAGGATGCAGGGGAGGTGGAACAGAAGTAACTGGTGGAGGAGGGTGGAGGAAGTGTGGTGGAGGTGGCCCAGCGAGCGGGGGAGGCGGTGGGCCTGCTGGTGGTGCAAACGGCTGTTGCTGAGGTGGCTGTTGGGGCTGTGATGGCTGCTGGGGCTGCTGTGGGGGTTGTGGCTTACTTCCGTGGTCTCCAAGGACCTTAGAAGGCAGAGGAACGAGAAGAGAGCATTTTAACCTCTTTGCTCCTGCAGCGAGGACCTCGCTGTGCTGGCATAAAGGGAGCACATCACCAAAACAGGCAGCACTGTGATACTGGAAACTGGAAAGACCGGGATATGCCATACCTGGGGGATACCATCATTTGGGGAGGAAGAAAGGTTGATCAAAGCAATCATAGAACAGTTTGGGTTGGAAGGGACCTTTAAAGGTCATCGAGTCCAACCTCCCCTGCACCAAGCAGGGACATCTTCAATGAGATCAATATGCTTAGCAAGGTATCTTCTCTTACGCAGAGGAGCAGCGAGACTAGATTCTAGCTGTGCAGGCAACTGTGCAAGACAGCTGACATTTCAGTGTTATAAACACCTTTTGTTCATGGGAACTGCCAGTGATAACGGCTTCAGATTGAAAGCTGCCATATTTGAGGGTGACACAGCAGTGCTTCCTTTGTTTTGTTTTTTTTTTTTTTTTTGGAACCCAATTTATCTGGCAGCAAAAGGCCAAATTCTGCTCTAGATTGTGCCCACGTAGGTCAAAGGAAGACCAGATTCACATCTGTCTGACAAAAGCAGGTCACATACCCACTGTTGCTGAAGGAATGATGGATATGCAGAGATACCAGAATGACCTGGAAATACAGGTATCAGTGCTTGTAAGTGGCAGGAACAACAACCATTTCCCAGCAAATTCTTTCTCTTAGGTAAACTCTTTTTTGGGCCATTGTTGGCAAAATTTGGAAAACTGACCACTATAAAACTAAACGGACAATGAAAACACGTGTAAAAACAAAACCAGGATTTGCATCTAGACAGGGAAGAGGTTCTATATTTGGGGTTTTTTTTTGTGAGTTAGGAGTTGGTAGGAGAAATGTGGTTAAGAGAGAAGAGTTCTCAGCAGATGGTCCTCAAACCCTACACCTCGCACCTTCCTATCTAGAAGCCAACCAGAACATTATGGTCATAGACTGGACATGAAAGATCAGAACTGAGCCCAGTTTTAAACCCCAGGCTGTTATTTCTTTTAAGGGACAAGATCCAGTAACACAGGCCCACCCTTAGTCTGAAGTGTGGGCTGCATCTAACAATGCTTAGGCTAAACGTTACTTCAAAGTAAAACGAAACAGAAGCCCCAAGCAGACGTCCTCCACTGCAGAACCAGAGATTCCCACCCAACAGCGGAGGGGAAGGCAATAATCCACGTAAGAGCCTCCCAGCTACGCATCGCAAGGAATACTTTGGGAGAGCCGATGAGAAAAGAAACTTGGGCCTTACCATTCGGACGGGAAGGCTAGTCTTCAAAGGACAACCCCTAGCTCCTAGCAAGACAAAGCTTTTAACACAGAAGTTAATTCAACCTGCAGAAGGGAACCGATACATGCATACGCCTCGACAGAGCTGATATACTACCTACTGCTTTGCAGACAGAAACAGGGACATGGGAGGTGAGGAACACACAGACATTTGCTCAGGGTTCACCAGAAGTATAATAAAATCAGAAATTCATCGAGACGGCACAAAACATTTACCTGAATTGGGTTTTCCTCAGAGGCATGTTTATCACGTCGTCTTCCTTCCACTCTCCTAATTGTGCCTGCCTGGCCACCGATCACATCAATTGTCCCACCCAGCTTCCTGGTACAAAGTAGATGCATCTTTTTAGGCTCAAAGACATTAGAACGAGCAGTTTTCCCTGCTATTAGACAGACTTCTCTCATGCATTCTTCTCCAACAGGGAAAAAATCTCTAGAGGCAGCACTCATATTGGACAAGAGGTGAATGAGAAGTCCTTTTTCATTTTTGAGCAATTTGAGCTTTGCAGGAAGGGGTGAGTTAGGTCTCTCTGAACACCCAGAAACACAATCCAACAACTCACCACAGACAGGTGTAATAACACAGCTTGCACACTGGTTCAGAGCTGAAATCCTTTACTCACCCTCCAGATTTGAATAACCATTCGCAGGCTCAGAGAAAGTGGGGAATATTTATCAGGAGGAGCCTTTAATGTTATTAGCCCAGATTTCTCCTACTTGCTGTCCAATCTTCCAAGCATTACTGATACCACTGAAATTATTTACAAATCGGATTCTCAGACACTTTCTAATCCACCTCCCCGGGGTCTACTCTGTTTCTATTAAAGCCAAAAGTTTTTCCACTGCCTTCAATGAAATCAAGGTTAGATCCTTGAAAAAAAAATATACTGTTGTAGCCAAGAAACAGTGCTGTCTACGCACCAGTGGAAATTAGTCACAGAACCTACAGTTCTCCATGTTCTTTTATCTCCATATCCAGGTCACTCTTAGGGGAAGAACGATTTTATAGGACCTCATTGTAAGGTCATCACAAGTAAAAGTTTGCGAGAGAGAAGCATCTGCAACTGAAGTTTAAGAATCCCTCATCATATATTCATGCAACAATTGGTTTGTGTAAGTATGGCCTTCTTCCTGCAGTTAGGACAGAAAAATGTCAGCATTTTTCCAAGTTAGACTGCAGAATTTTCTATCTTAGTAGGAAATTCAGACAAAGTGGACATAAAAATGCTGATTACTTGGCGAGAGAAAGTTTTCTCTGTGAAATCTGCTCACAACTCATTGCTAAGCCCATGGTTTTAATGCTGCTGCAGTGTACGAAGATACTTGTTCTGGTCCTGACCAAAAGCTCTGCTGCCAGAACATCACCTTATTTGCAGTGGTGTTAAGTTAAAAAAAAATCTCCCGAGATACACATAACAGCTGGAAACAAACCTGATATGATGGCACTATGAAGGGGGACAGAAATGCCAGCAAAGTGCTTAAATGCAAGCAGGCCAAGTAGAGCTTTAAAGCTTATACTTGAAACATACAGTTGGTTCTCTTCTCAGACGAAGTGGAAAGTTGGAGTGAAAGACTGATTTCTGCATGACAGGTGTGCAAAAGATGTAGCGTGACTAAAGCAACAGAAACACCCAGACCCCAAAGCTCTGGCTCTTCTGGTTTCACATAGCTTTGTTTTTCCTGAAGCTTTTGATAAAAACGCCATCAACCTCATAAGGTCAAAGCGGTTTTCCCAGCAGAGGCTGCCAATCAAAGTGACTCAATTGTTTTGCTTTGTCCAGCGTTGCGGATCCTCTCTCTCATTGGAGAAAAGAACTAATTAGCAGGCATCAAGCAGCGTAGCATACAGGTTCAGAAACCAATAGCTCCTCTTATCAGCTGCCAAACATATAATCCACTTCAACTTAAGGAGGCAAAGATTAACATCGTGGGAGTAAGAATAAGCCAAGTAAGCACAAGCAGCCAGCAATGTAAGCTCTCAAAGCTGAGGTATTTCCCTTGTTTTTATTATTCCTTTCAGCTGGGACACAGGTTTCCCTCCCTGTGCAGCACTATACTGAAGATATCACCAAGGAGAGGTAAATGAAGACAATAGTTAATAAGCGACCACAGTAGGTTTTTGTGAAGTTTAAAAGCTTTTTCTGTTTCGGGCTTGAGGAGATTCAGATATGGCGCAGGCGGATCCCAGCCACCCCTATAAAGAACACAGTGCACCCGGGCTTTATGTCTGCATCATCTCTTACCTATTAGGAGGAGGCCCAGCCTTCATGCGTCCTCCCACCAGAGCCAAGAAGTCTGTTTTGAATTCTGTTTTGATGATGTTGTTTTCCACTTCTTTTTCAGCATTTCCTGTTCTTCCTTGCTGAACCTATGGAAGGCGATATATAACACACAGGTTTAATGCCCTTACTTTCAGCTGACTGTAGCATCGAAGATTAACCCTCAGCAAAGGAAAAGGGATCCCCTGAGGAACAATCACAGGGCTCCTGCAAACAAGCAACCTATTCTTCTGTCAAGGTGGCAGACATTTCTGTAAACTAGTGGGCTATTTCAGCCTCAGCCTGCTGTCCTGTTTAACAGGCTATTTCAGCCTCAGCCTGCCTCCTGTTTAACTCCCGAAAGTTTAATAACCTCGCATCCTTTTTCACCTAGTCCTTAAGTCCGAACTGGAAATAGTAATACTTGCTGTATTGACTCTTTGGACAAAGTTCTGATTAACAGCTCTTGGCCACCTGATGGACTTCTGCAAAGGTTGATGGCCAAAGCAGTCTCCTAACACAAAAAGCAGCCACACAACTGCAACAGTCAATAGCAACAAGCAAAACAGCCATGGATACCCAGCTCCCCTCCCTGCACCTCTCACACCCACAGGATCTTCCAACCAGGCACCCCTGAGTATTATAAGCTGAGTAGCCTCAAAGCCAACTGGAAAGTCACTCAAGTCTTGCTTCTGTAGTGGTTCAAACCTGCCAGGCAGCTGGAACTGTTTGTTCCACAGAGAAAAAAAGATTTTTAGCAGAGAGATTTAATCTTTAAAGATACATTTTTGTATTTCTCATCACTGAAAGGAACATAGAACTGTTAGGTATCAAGGTATCTTCTGCTCATACACTCTCATCTCTGTGATTACAAAACAAGTCCCAGTTTTATTGCAGCCATATGCAGGAGTAACACATCACCTACCGTGATTTTATTTTCAGTGCTGATGGGAGGAGCAGGATCCAGTCCAAGCTGAAGCCGTCGCTGCTTTTCACAATAAGCTTTCCATGTTTCTTCGTTGAATCCGTAATTAAAGTAATCAGAAAGATCAGCACCTGACAAGGGGAGTAGAAGTTAACACAGGGATTCTAACAGACTTGCGTTCTCAAATTGTCCTTTAACTGCTTAAATGAAGAGTTAAGAAAAGAAAAATCGTCTAAAGAGCACAGTTTACTCTCCATTTCATTCTGTCACAAAGCCTCTGCATGCCACAGCGGAGATGGCTGCATCTTTTGGTGGGACGGCAACTACAGCTTGACATTTGGGACGCAGAATACAGCACACATGCAGGCTATTGAAAGAGATGCCTGCAACCACTTATTCAGCAACCAGATTTTTTCAGAATGGTTTCTTGCAATCATCCGAATGAGTTGAGTGCTGGGGCGAGCACAGGAATGACAGTTTCAGCTACTACCACAAAAACAGGATAGGGCCACGGAAGGTTTTTCTTGGCAGAGCTAAGCCAAGATGTTCCGCTCCTGATCATTGCCTTTAGTGTTTTGAGAAGAGATTCTGGGACTCGCCCATTTTGTGAAACAGGGCTAAAGTGGAAGTTTTTTATTGATACGTCTCAGACTACACAAGTAATTACAGCTCAGTCAGGATCTTAACCATAGCCTTCCAAGATTGTTATCTTACTTTGACAGTCTTCTGTGAAATGTGCCAACTCAGCATGAGCACTTCTGAGTAAGAGAGGTGGCCACAAACTGCTTGCCAAGAAAACGGAGATGCAGAGGGACAGACCAACTCTGCAGGGCACACCTCACAGCAGGAAGCATCACAAAGCATCTCCCAGCCCTGCTGAGGTGGCCCTCCGACATCCCCCTCGCAAAGGTATTCCCAGACACACCAATTCTAAAACAAGGAGCTGATATGTAAGGGCTAAGCAAAACACTTTGACCATGCTGAGCTTGGATCTATACAGCGAGGTTTAAGTTTGTCTTTGAGATAGGCCACCCTTCCTGTTGTACCACCCAAATATGCAAATTTCACCAACACAGACTCAGCAACATGACATTTACATATCTATTTTATCAGCCTATATTTCAGCCCTCTATCAGTTCTTCCACATCATATTTCTTCTTCCTCTCCCTCACTTAAAGAGATACCAACTTGCTGAACAATTAACTATAAAGGATATACACCTGAAAGGCTGTTGGGTAACAAGCTACTCACCGTCTACAATAAACTTACAGGCCACACCTCTGCAGACATCTTCTTCCCTCTGTTAGTACCTCAAAGCTGTTTTAAGGCTAACGGGCTTCATTTTGGTCCAGGGATGTCACCACAATGATTTCCATGCTTTATCTCTGAATTTCACTTCATTGTTTTCCTTCTAACTTATTTTCTTCCCAGCCCCCCTTTTTCTCGCTCCACAATCAATGGGAAATCCCCCGCAGAATAAAGGCCACATCTTCTGTTACGTCTGTACCAGCTGCTACTCATCACAGAGTGCTTTAGTGCTGTTTTGATACCATGACACGTCAATGTAGCTATTAGCACTGCTATCTACTCCGATACCCTTCATTTCAGATGGGCAAGAGACACCAAAACCACACCACAGACAACCTTATAAAAGCACTACTTACTTAGCACAGCAATATTTCTGAAAGATAAATAAAGTACAGGAACTGGTGGGGAGAAGAATTATTTCCGAGAAGAGGCAAGTGGATTTTTTGCTTCAGTTAACATTTCATTGTAGCACGTTTTATGAGTAGTACAGCACAAATTTGGACCTCTTTGGTTCCTTCATTTACTTTTGTATCAAATTCAGATGAAAAACAGAAGTTTATTTGTAGCATCCTACAGCTGTCATGCAAGAGCTGCTTCCGAGTAGAAATCTCCCTAATACTAACCAGGAAGACAAGAGAGACCGTGTACACATTAAAACCTGCTGTGCAAAGTACTATTGGTGTGGGCAGTCTAGATAATACAGTCCAGAAGAAATAAGCGGGGACTGCTGACTCACAGTTACGCACATAGGGGCAGAAGCTAGCTAAGAATTAGGCAATGCAGTTTTTCTAAAAGAAAAATCGTCGCTTTTCTTGCCAGAGTAGACAGTGGTTTCCTTCCTCTTATTCAATTGTTTGGAGCAGGAGAATTCAACACAAAAAGACGGCTTTCCTATCACGACATGCGCTCACTTGGCAATTCTCACCATCGCTGTCCTCTGCAAGGGGTACTTTCCTGCAGAAGCGTGGACATCCCCAGGACCCGAATGAGAGAAGGGTGCGTGGCGATGACTGAGCTTGGTCATGGTGAGACAGACTAAGCAAGCTGCTGCACGTGCAGAAGGGACCACACAGCATCAACAGCCAAATCTCCATCCTACTCAATTGACTTTAAGGCCAAGAAACATTATCGTATTGATATCAGTGCGATATTTTCTGGAACTAGGAAATTAACAAAATAGAACATTAAAAAAAAAAAAAGAAGCTGTTCCCTTTAGGGAAGTTAAATAGAGTAAATGCAACCCAATTTTATGGAGACGCATGGCTTGATCAATCAGTAAATGTCACTGATTGTCTAAACAGGCATCAGAGGCTGAGCAATACGCATTGTTCCGACTTCCCTGTTCCCTGGCAGCAATACACGGACAGAAGTTACACGTGAAATTAGAGAGAGACAAATAAAACTGCAGAAAATATTTACCACAAGAAACTGTGAGGCCCCACCTGGTTTCCTCCACGGTTTGTCTTCAAATGAATCTAAATCCACTTCTATAACAGGCAATCCATTTATATTCCCTGCGGCATCTAAGTCAATACCTTTGGGCTGCAACTTGGCTTTGGAGAGAGAGAAACCGTTACTACTTTTAATGCAATGCCTTTAATCCGCTAATTTGCTGAGCAAATTACTCCAGTCAAAAATAAAGCACTACTGTGAATTCATTGCTGGTTTTATAGCATGTAGGTAACCACAACCAACTTTTTGCTAAAAATTACTTCAGTCACTCTGTAAATAACTAGCCAGGGTACACAGCACTTGCAGTCGAACAGCAGAGAAGCAAATTCAACCCAGATCGGTACTACAGATAAATGGAGTAAATTATTAGAGCATGCATGAGAATTACCCCAAATAAAAAAAAATAAATTATTTTTCTCCCCAGGCAAAGTATTTCTTTTTCCCTCCAAAGACGCATGTTTTCCCATAACAAGAGACTTTTTCAGGATCAGTCTTAAGTGGACCGTGTACTAACTGGAGTCAGAAAAATCAGTCAGGTACAGAATCTTCAAGGGGAATTTGTTCTTATTTTCTGAATCAGGAGATAAGTCATTTGCATAAAGAAATTAATGGAAGGAAGCATATAAAACCCATGAAAACAGTCTTACATATGAGGAAGAACAGAATTCAAGTCTCAATATACAGTATAAACTAAACTGAATGATGGGGAAAATTTCAGCTGCAGAAATATGCATAGTTGATACTCGAGGCCAGTTTGTTTCTTTTAGTATCTTATACTGCAAGTAGCTCAGTATACTGACCACAAAGTTAAAGTTCTTCTCCAGGGAATTTAGAATGGTTGGCTCCAGTGCAACAATATAGTTTGGAAACACTCTTGTTTTCTTACTATAAAAGTAATAAGCAATGTGTGTGATGGGTAATTAAATCATTCCATCGCACCCTGGACCCTCAGACTGTTCTAGGAGCACTTATCTTTAGGAAACGCACTTACTATTCCTAGTTTAAATAAGATGCACTAATTTTATATCCTTCCAGAGACCAAGATTTGCAGCTGCTCCAGCCGTCAGTGCCACATTAAGTCAAATACTGCAAAAGGTGAAGGATAAAAATAACAGCAATACCTGAAGCAGATGCTCCATAGCCTCTACCCGTTTTTAAGTTTAGATTCATAGGAGTTCCCCTATATGGAAGAGAATCACTACATTGGTATTTGAACAAATTACTCGGTTGAAGATTTTCATGCAAAATATATCCAAGCCCTGACATCCGTCAGAAGATGCTTAGTTCACTTGGGTTTATTCATGCCTCTCTACGGTTTTTAGCACTAAGTCTCATCTTCAAAGTGAGATTCATTTGCCACATAAGTTTCTTTAACCCTACAGATACGCAGCAAATGTATTTACTGGCCAACAACAGAACACAGGAGGATTGTCTTGTACATGAAGGGAAAGGTTACTTCAAAGAGTGGTAGGTACCATTCTGCCCAGGAACATACTTGGTGATTAAATGGAACTGAACAACACGGAAATCATAGCTGCCCACAGATCACAGAATGAGAAGGGAAAGGCAGAAGATGCAGATTTCGAAAAGGATGTCTGCAAAATCTAGCGAGCTGCCAACGGATGGAGCATTGCTATTCAGAGTAATCCATCAGGCTGAAACTACCTCTACAAGAGAAGGAAATTATCCATAAACTGGAAAAATTGAAATATGCTCCAAAGCACACAGAAGTCGCTTCCTTAAGAGAAAGGCTGCTAGCTGCAAGCAAAAACGCTCTTATTATTTTTATTCAATGCAAATTAGGTAGACTTTTAAGTCGGTGACATAATTTCCTGATTTGCAAATCCAGCCTCACCATTTCTGAATCATGAGAAAGCAAGACAGCTGGGAATTAGTTAATTCACAGTTTATGCAAATTCTTATCAATACAGATTTTGGTTCTTGGCGTTTTCACAGATGGTGAATTAAATGTAATGTCCCACCTTTGATTTGCCTGATGAAGCACAGTAATGATTTGGTTAATTTTCCAACAGCAGACCCATAGATTATCATTCCTATTTTATAGATGGATTCTCCAACAAGCAATTGCAGGACAAAGCTGCCCATCAGCTTCTAACCCCACTCCGGCCTTCTAGCCATTACTCCCATGCCTCCCAGAAGGACAGACCAGCTCTCATCCTCACTTTCAATCCCAATCAACGTGCTAGAGCTACCTCACACCAAAAATCGACACCGTAATCCGCAATACATACATGTACGATGGTGCTCCCGTTTTAATGTTGCCAATAGTAACTTTCACGTCATCATCATCACTGTCGCTGTCGCTGTCATCTTCATCATCTTCACCACTTGGAAGGGCCTAGCAACAATGAAAGCACACAGGAGCTCATTAATACACAGAAAACTGATAAATTACCCCAGACAGTAAGCCAAATCTCACAAAGCTTGTATGATGAAGGACTATTAGAAAAAGATATTCTGATATAAAGACATAACTTTCTACTGCTCTCCACGGCTACACAAAGTTGTCTTTGGAGGCAGAAGTCATGGAAGTAACCAGCCTTCAACACAAATGGAGAGGTGCACACAACATAACTGCTATGTCCTTTGAAGAAGTGACCCTACATGAGAATCAGGACAGGATTCCTGAAGGTGGGGAAGGTTTAACTCGGTTCTAAGAATTTCATCATGTCCCACAGTTCCTCTCCCCTACTCTTTTTGAAAGAGCTAGGGCTTTTCTGACACATCTGCTTCACAAGTCCATCACAAATAAAAACCACCAAAATACATTCACCAGGCTTCATCTGAGAACCTTGGAGCTAATATTCTTTCACCACAGCTTCTGTGGTAGGAAGGTGCTGAGGAGCTTGGCTTGGCTTATTGAGCCCCATCAGTCCCCAAGTCACTTAACTTCACGTAAGAACATTACAGCTGCTGATTCAGCTCCAGCGCAGCACCTCTGCTGGGGCAAAAAAGCAAAGGAAGTCTTCCAGATATCCAGCAGTGCAGCTCCGCAAGGTGCAGGAGCTGAACTAACACATCACCACTACAAAATGGTATGAGGAAGGTGTTCCTAACCCTTCCTCCTTTTCCACGGCACATGGGTATGTCAGCACTCTGCGTGAACCCTCTTGACATACCACAGTGTCAGAAAATAAACCCATCAAAAAGACTAGAGGAATTGGGGGTGGAGAAGCAAGCCGCCTCCTTCACTGTCAGCACTGAGCCCCTGGACCGCATTCTGCGAGGTCTGAGACTGAATCACAACTGATTTCCAGCACTTCGGGCTTTCTATCCCAGCGTTTCCCGTATTTCAGTGACCCTCCAGAAGTCATACTAAATATTGAGCTGGAGGTAACATCATGTTCTGCTTTTCCTGCCAGACTGCAGCATCAGAGGCCCTCGTCTGCCTCTTCAGTGGGCACAGGCAGTACTTAGATGAGGGTTCACTACCCACTGCACAAGGCAGGCTGAAAAGAGACGCCTGTTGCCGTAGTTAGCACTGGGAATTGACTATCAGCACACTCTCACGCTACAAATGTAACGTATTAGGCAGTACCAGCAGCTTTACACTTACATCTTTTTATCCATGAGCACTGAGAAGCACAAAAATAACTATGTCTACCATTTGCAGTGGAACACGTACATGTTGCGACATCTCTCGGTCATCGTTGCCGACAGGCCGGTTCTCCTGAGGAGCATCTTGCAAAGGATGAGAAGACTCTGCGTGTCTAGAAAACGTGACAGGTAAAAAAAAGTGGACAAGCTCAATCTAGAGGTTCACCTATAAACATTTCTAAAGCATCCATTCAGGTGACTTTCATATAATGGCTTTATTCATGTAGTGTGTTTATTCTGCTGGCAGTTAGCTTAACTATACAACAAGAAAAAAAAATAAAAATCAATCAACCTTGCTTGGCTTTGCTTTTGTTGGAAAGAATCAGTTTAGCGCTTCCAACGAGCGCCTGACAGACAGCACGGCTGCCTGGCCAAACACCACTCAACAGCTAATACAGAAGTGGCAGCTATAATAGCTTTCACCTTTGGTTCAGCACAATCACAACTGATAGGAATAAAACATAATAAGCAAAACTTCACCTTGTGCTAAAGGATGCTAATAATTATACCTATATTTAGTAAGCAGTAAGGGCATCCGTCCCGCAGAAATGAAGGAAAAAGTGATTTTAGTGTTTCTACAAATAGCTTACATTAACGAGTAGTTAAAATTCAAAGAAGAAAAGACAGATAAATTATCCACACAATCTTCTCTTTCATTACAAATTAGTCCTAATGCAACAATGGTCAGGTTCAGATTTACTTCCAATTAAAGAGTTCATACATATGTTAACATTGTTTATTGCATTAGCCAAGCAAGAAAGTCAAATTGGTATACACGTGCTAGAAAACAGTATGCAAGTGTTACAAAACAAAAATGCAAAGAGAGATCATTTTTCTTTGATGTCATAGGTAAAACCTAGTAGAACTTCAAAATAATTCTGGCTTTTCAAAAGAGACAATTAGAATAACCCGGGAAACCAATTCCGCCATCAGAACCTTGAGGAGACGTTGCTATTAATTTAAAACACCATGTGGCATAATAAACATACACAAGATTACCTTCAAAAAGACACATAGGTAACACCTAACAGAATCCAAACACTGGTCAGATTAAAGCCATTTCAGAGGCAGCAGGAAAGGGGACACCAAACAAGTAAGCCAAAAGATCACACTAACACAACTCAGAAAGCAGCTCCTGAGCATAAAAAAGATCAAATGAACAAGAACAATTTGAGCAGTTACTGAGGCTCCCGCGTTAGAAAAGCCCCATATACAAAGAAATTCATCGATCAAGCTAAGATCAAAAAGAAGGGATGAAGGTTCAGCAGCTAACCAGGGAAGCACAGGTCCCATTTGCGCCAAGTTCCTGACGTGACAGCTGAAGACACTTTAAGTTGTAAGAAGCAGCAGGATGTCTAAGGGAAAAATCAGCCTCTAAAAGTATTTCAAAGTTGCAGACGTAGGCTATTACATAAGGACCAAAAGATGTAGAACTGGAGAAAAATCGAAAAATCTCACAGATGGCTCCAAAACTTTTTGCATTTTGTTTGCCAAATCCAAGCAACTCTTAACATTGACCTCAACCCCAGAATTTTCTTAAGAATCCAAGATGACTGAATTAAGGAAGGGTGACAAGTATTACCTTCAGCTTCAAGTCACATGAAGTATCTGTGGGTGTGCATTAAAATTTATGAATCGGAGTTCAAATAAACATTTGCTAAGTAACAGCCTTTCCCTAACCTCTTTGCTTCCCAGGAACGAACAACCTGACAGGTCCACAGCCATCATCTGCATGCAAAAAAAACGTCGCAGCTATTTTAATTTCCCCAGAATGCCAATATAACCCTGTGCGTTGTTGACGTTAACAGCATCCTGCACCGCCTGCTGGTATTCAATGCATCCTTTAGGCTAAGGAATGTTAACGGATACTGCATCCTGCCCGACACTGATTTCTGTTTCATGGGTAGAGACAAATACTCCAGACATGGCAGCAATGTATCCCTGGAGCTGGAGGCATCGAAAACACAGCAAACAAAGAGTCATTTTTCTTAAAACACCCCACAGCTCTTCAGTCAGGAAGATTCTCATTGTGCAACAAAGAAAAGGAACAAAACCAAGAAGGGGGAAAAAAGAAAGGAAAAAAAAAAAAAAAAAGAGAGAGAGTGAGCATGACCACTAATACTTTTCCTTCATGCATCTTGCGGTTATTTGAGACAATTGCTGGAAATTCAGATTTTTAATTCTGCTTGTAAAGTAACACTGCCTTCAGATGAAAGCGACAAGGAACAAGAGGTTTATGCAGGTCAGCAGTACATTTCTATCTAAACTGAAAGTTTAGATTTCATGTTTTTAGGTAACAATTCACCAAGTCTGCCTAAAACTTGTTTTTCAACAACTTTTCATACCCCCTAAGCACAGGATGCTTACTACAGAGGTAGGACAGTTTCCTAACAATCTCAGAAATTCCAGTGCTGAATTCACAATGACCTTAAAGGACAATAAGCATTAAACTGAACTTTTGAAGGTGCTGAGCACACAAAAGTCCAGTGAAGATCAAGTCTCCTGAAAACCACGTTACATTTAAGAATGGCAGACAGTGTTTCTGCTGACAGAAAATTCTGCCGGTGCAAAACACACTGCTACGAATATAGGGGAGTTATAATCAAGGACAGACAATACTGTCCATGCACAGAAAGCAAAACTCATCATTAAGTTTTCCCCAATGCTTTTATCCATAAGTCCTACCCAAACCACATACTTCATAGATCTCATATGATTTGTTGACTTGATCATGTCAAGAATTTAACCTAGGCTCAAGGTTTTTGGCTTTTCCAGGCTAAAGCACAGGCCTCAGTTTTACCACTGCCGGGCCAGCACAAAGGCCAATCCTCAAGGTATCATTTTTCCCAGAAAATTAAACTGGGAAACAGATCTGATTTAATATAATTTGGAAGGGGGGAAAAAAGGGTTAAAAGTTAGTTTTAAGTCAAATCATTTGACCAATCTAGTTCACCATCCAAATCCATAAATGCTGGGCCAGCCCAAGCGCGGCGGCAGGGGATGACCCCATGGGATGGGAAAAGGATCGGCTGCTGTTTCTGGCAATGGCATTGGTCTACAGCATTCGTGAAGCTGTGCTCAACGTGGCTTGATCTTCTTTGCAGCATATATGTTTGTAATGAATAAAGTGTCTCTGGACTCACCCAGAAATTGGTCCATCTTCTTGCTTACCAGTGGTGTCATCTGCAAACACAGTAATAATAAAAAAAGGAAATTATTCAAGTGAAAGAAAAAAAAGCTCAATTTAAGCACAAAATGTGTCACAGCTACAGCAATACCTAGTAGTACCAAGGCACTATATCCCCTACGTTCTCTTTTCATCAAAGTTCAACTAGAAATAGAACAACTTAAAACAAAAGCAAAAAAACCAACAAAAACCACCAAACAAAACCTGTCTGCAGAATTGAAGTCTCACACCACTGACATGGAACAAAATTCAAAATACACATCCAAAGCCTCAGAGCAGAAGGAGTGAAGGCAAAGGAACTGAACTCAGCTGTGATGGTCTTTATATAGACTTTTAACGTACCGGCAAAGAAGAAACATAAAAGTATTCAGTTGGAAAGTCTACGAGGAGGACAAAGAGGTTTAAATAGAGCCCTACGCTTTTTCCTAGACACCCCCCCCCAGTCCCCTGTTGGCCCAGGGGTTCACCTGCATCAACCAGGTGAGTAAGATTTGGATGATGAGGAAACTGAAACTGCAACAAAGCATCCCGTTAACCTCTTCGCCTCACGGTGGTGGTGTTAAAAGGACAATAACCCGTCCCCACCCCCCACAATAAACCCCCCCTCCGGCAGCTAAAGCGCCGGCGCCCTCCCTGCGGCACCCCGCACCGGGCAGAGGCGGCGCCGGCCCCGCACCCCGCGGCGGGAGGGGACGAGGGGACACCCGCGCTCC